AGAGACAAGAAGAGAAAAAAAGCAGATGAATGGTTATTTCCGTTTGACCGGAGTACGGCTTTACAAAGAGATCATTTTGTTGCCCGTTGGTTTAAAGACACTTATCATAAATTACCTACGGGTCATGGACAAACTTGTCAATGTTTCTATCAAAATGTGTTGTAATTGTTTGTTGTTGTTGTTGTTTGTTAGATCTAAAAAAAAAAAATAATAAATCATTTTTAAAAAATGAAAAAGATGTGTTTTTGTTTTTTTGTCATTTTACAAAGTAGATTATCCCCCTTTAACCATACATTTTTTTTTTATCAATACACAAAAGAATTTATTTTTTTTGGATGTAGGCTGTTTGTATACATAAATACAATTTAAAAAAAAAATGAAAAAGATGTGTGGGTTTTTTTTGGTCATTTTAGAAAGTAGGTTATCCCCCTTTAACCATACATTTTATTTATCAATACACAAAAGAATTTTTTTTTTTGGATGTGGGTTGTTTGTATACATAAATACAATGAAAAAATAAAATAAATATTAAGCATTGTACAAACACATGTCATTTTGTTAGATTTGCCTATTTTGTTTAGGAGTGACAGCTTCAGCCCAAAAAAAAAAAAAAAAAATAGGATTTTAAAAAATAAATAAATTGAGGAAAACTGGTTGATAATGACAATTTAAAAAAAAAATGATTTTTTTTTAAACCAATGCATTTTTTTTTTTTTTTGCCTATAAAAAGGGAAATGACTTGACATGAACATTTAGTTTGAACCATGAGTCTCCAGGAGATGGAAGGAGATTTATTTAACAGTGATACAGAAGTTATTGTACACCAGTGTAACTGTTTAACAGTCAGAGCTCATGGATTGAGTCAAAGTCTTGCGGAGAAATTCCCCCAAGCGAATGTGTATGCGACTCGCAAACCTATAGGGACTAGAAATTTAGCCGTAGAAGAAGATAGAGGAATTCCAGGAACTATTAGGGTGTTTACCTCACAAACACCCGTGGTCATTTGCTTACTAGCTCAATGGGATTATGGCAGAGCAAGTCACAGACCTAAAAGAATCTCCACTTATGAGGATACCCCCCAAAACAGAGAGAATTGGTTTCAGACCTGCTTACAAGAATTGGGAAATTTACCTTATAAAACATTTGGTTTTCCTTATAAGATTGGATGTAATTTAGGTGGGGGAAATTGGACTCATTATAGACAATATATTGAACAATTTGCACACACTTATGACAAACATGTGTACATTTTTCATCATACATAATGCCTTGCACTGTAATGTGTTATTGTTGTTGTTTTAATAAAATAATATTACAAAAACAGGTGTGTTCTTATGATTTAAAAATATACAACCAAAGAAAAAATGTGTGTGTGATGAGTTATAATTTAATAAATAATATGAGTTTACCACAGAAAAAAAAATGAATAATGAGAATTTACTTAAGTGTTATTAAGTTTAGTAAAAAAAAAAAATTAAGAGAAAACTATCAAGTGAATTTAAGGGAGAACATTTTTTTTTAAAGAGAAAACTATTTAGTGAATGAAAGGGGAAAAATTAATTGCAAAAAAAAAAAACAACCCCAAACTATTATTTGAGTTGTGAGTTTAAAGGGGGGGACTAAGAAAAAAATTAGTGTAATAAAAAATAATTTGAAAAAAAAATATGAACAAAAATATTCTAAGTTTGTTTTTTAAATATTTGAGGGGGGTATGACCTGGTGTTTTCTTGACACATTCGTTTCTATATATACACCTGTATGAAGGCATCTTTTCTAAAAATGTGGGTGGTCCTTAAAAGGACCGTGGGGTTTAAGACTGGGCCTGATGGTATTAGCCTCAGTCTTGGTCTGCTGTTACTGCCAATCACTCAGTTCTTCTTCCCCTTCTTCTTCTTCTTGTGGGCGGGAGGTTTTGTCCTCTGAACCGGCAAATCGGACAGGACATCCCATGATCAACTAACATCCTGGTGCATCTATAATTTAGAAAAAAAATATATACATATAACATTTTATAGATCACTGAATTTTTAAACATTGAAAGTCAAAATTAATTCATAATTTAAAAAAGACCTTATATTTTTCCAAAAAAAAAAAAAAAAATTAAATCAAATAAAAAAAAATAAATAAATAAAAAAGAAAAATCTACAAATTGTATTTACCTTCCACAAGCTGGTCTATTTCTACATTGTTGACATATGTAATAGGTAGGCACATCCTCACACCAACAAACGCTGCATCTCTGAATGGTTTCCGTCCCTACAGGGGCTCCCCATACTGGAATAACATTATTAATAATGGGCGATGGGGGTGACGGGTTCCTGGCCGGTGATGGATGTGGCGGTTGTGGGGGTGGAGACATCGGTGGTGGTGGTGATGTTGGGGGTGTGATGAATGGTCCCGGTCTAGGAGAGACTGGAGGCGAAATCCCATACATGATATTTAATCTGTCGTCGAGGGATGGTTGTGAAGAAGGACTGGCTGGTGGTGCTGGTGGTGGGGGCCCTATGGCCAGGGGTGGAGAGTAGGGACTGGATCTCCCGGCCCTCCGTCTGTCTGGTCTGCGTGCTCCTGGTGGTGGATTCACCCCGGCCACTGGCCATCTGGCGAATTCCTGCCCCGTCACAGTGCTCCTGACTGCCACATAAAAAACCATTTGAAACCCTTGGAATAAATTAAACTCCGGAAAAGCTCCATGAGATGCCATCTTGTCGAGATCTGGGAATCTAACAAATGACACTGAGATCCGCCTGCTCGACCTATTTATTGACTAATCACGGACGTTAAAGAAAGCACCCTAAAAGCCCGTATTTAACCTAGTGAGCAAGCCGAGGTAAAATTCGAAATGTGTTTGTCAATACGTACATTTTGATGGAATATTTATTGTGTGTTCATAATTGGATTAAATCATGATTCAAGTCTAAAGAAGGTAAGTTTCCTGCATCTTTTGATAGTATATTTGATACATGACATTACTTGGTGACTTAGAAATTAAGTAAAATGGTGGCGGCATGGGGGTCGATAGCACCGACCTTGATACCCTCAAAGACTAGTGTAGCTTTATTAGAGTGAGATAGAAAGAAAAGACACTTTTCATTAGGAGATAGGACATAGTGAAACAGGTTGATATAGTTTTTAGTTCGAATCAATTCTTCTAAAGGAAGAAATACAGACGGTGTGCGTTGGTCTATACACACAGGGCCTGGATGTCGGCCATTTTTTCCGTATAGAAATCATAGAAATATATATAGAGCCAAATAGTATTTTTTTAAATCGGGACTTCTCATCGTTTATTTTTGCGATCTAAAGAGTGTTATGACGATAAAATCATTTTGTATACACTTTAGGTTCAGCTGGCAAGTTGTAAAATCGTAAATTCACAAAAAAAAAATGTAGACTCAACGAAGCTCCGCTGAAGGTTTGTAGAGTCCGTTGGTGATTTTTAGGAGGTTTTTACCTTTGATGTTTTAGAACCCAATCAATCGTGTGAGGAAAAAAAAAACATTTCGTACACACATCATAAGTTACAGTCTGTTTGGGTTATGTTTTAAACCGTAGAAATTCTGTGCTAACACAAACATACATACACACACGAACATCATTATACAGTAAAAAAAAAAATATATAGAAATCTAAGCTTAGAAGGGGTATTTTGAGTCATAAATCATATGGTAAGAATCCTTAGACATGTCTAATCCTTTTGAAATGAAAATTTGACACCAACATAGTAATTTTTAATGATTTTCTTTTAAATTTCTATTGTTGATAACGGACATGAAGAACCCGGATGTTCATGTATACACAGCAGACGAATGTCCTTGTTGACAGCTCCTTTGGTTTTTTTATTATTGCTATTAAGTTTTTGTTTTGTTTTTTTATTTTATTATTATTATTATTTTTTTTAAACATAAAACACAAATACACAAACAATGTGATCCCATTATTTATTAAATTTTTCACAAAAACAGTTTTCAAAATACAAAAAAAAAAAACAACAACAACAATAATAATAACATCTAACACAGATCATTGGTGTTTTCATTATAACGTTTCTGTAAAATGGGTTTTAACAATGTCTCTAAATGTTGAATCCTCCGACGAAAGTGAAACCGATCAGCCGCTAGAGTCATCCAGGGACTTGTTCTGTCTTCTGGAGGCAAATGATAAATTTGATTCTGGGTGGTGTTAAAAGTTACACGTTTGCTTCCAATTTTGCCCATTGCTCCAGAATTCTGTTTACTTCCGAGATCTGTACCATCTTGAATCCGTACTGTATACATATTTTCTCGATGGTTTCGATTTCCTGTAACAGCTGGAAAACCTTGGCCCCTTGTGGGTGACAAATCAGACTGTAAGGTTTTCTTTGAAACTGGCTTAGGGACACACCGTACAGTTTTTCTGGTAGACTGGTTTTCATCTTCTCGCACAGAAAATGTATGACTGCCAGTCTGCCTATATTTGGGCTGGTTAACAGTCCGGTACATTGCATCCACAATGAATCCGTATCCTCGATAATGGTAGTAGCCCTTTCTAACACTTCTTGTTGTTCTGGTGTCAGTTTTTCTCCATTCCTTTCTATGCATCGCATCATATAGTCATATCCATGTAAGGTTAGAGCATGCTGATGATGTACCTTGTATTCAAGGTGTGCATGAGCTCTCTCCGTCATGTGGTTAGGTGTTGACATGATTGAAAACTGACCAAAAAATGACAAAACGTGCCTATATTTATACCCTTTTAATTTTTCTGGAAAATAACAGATGTTTCTGGAAAAAAAAACTAGAATTAGAATTTACCTGAATAATTTTTTTTACCTGTCTCACGTGCGAGTAATCTTTCTGGAAAATAACAGATCTTTCTGGAAAAAACTAGATTTAAAATTTACCTGAATTTTTTTTTTTTACCTGAGGCACGTGCAGCATATCATATCAAAGAGTATATATAAACCCGTGTTTCATTTCAATCGTCCTCATTCGGTTTGTGCATGCAGAAGTATCATCATCATGGCTCAAGAGATAGTTGATTTAGTAAAGGGTGAAAACATGAATAACAATGGGGAAGACTTTGGATTTTACAATGCCTTACCCGAGACTCAAGATCCCATTGGATTAGAATTAGGGCTCTACAACATACCAGAGCCCATCAACAAAGAAGATTTTGGAATCCTAACAACGACCTTAGATGGGATCATTAACATCCTAAGAGCCTTCAGGGAAGAAGTCACAAACGAATTTGGTGCCATGGGAGGAAAACTGGCTAAGCTGGAAGTCAAAATAAGTCAATTTGAGGACAAGATGAAATCAAGTACCAAACCAAAGGACCATGAAAAACCAAAAGGTCCGAAGAAAAGTAAGGAAACCAACCCTTGCTTTATTTGTAAAGAACTGGGTCATTGGGCTCCAGACTGTCCCAGAAAAGAGCGAGATTTGTGTTTTAAATGCGGTCAACCCGGACACTGGGCAAATGAATGCCTATACAAAGATGACGACCAGGAATTTCTGAGAGAGGTCGAGAAAACTGAAAAAAAGAGAAGTGAAAATACAGACAGTCATAACCCTCAGAAAAAGCCGCATGGGACAGCTGTTGCAACCATACATGAAAACCCAGGACCCAGTCAAACCAAGGAAAACAAACCACCCACTGTGGCCCAGGTAAATAAACCAAAGAAGAGAGTTCAACCTCCCATCCAAGTCTCCTCTGTCGAGCCGCCTAAGAAGAAGAAAAGCTTAAAATTGCAGAAAAAAGTGAAAAATTAATGGACATTTAAAATTATATTCACAGTGTATTTTGTTTATTATTGTTGCTGTTGTTGTTTTTATTAATAAATGCAGAAAACACAACATCTGTGTTATGTTATGATTTAATTAAAAAAAAAAAAATCAGCTGATTGTCAGCTCTGTATACGTGTGTGTGATATAGACAGAGACAAACAGTTTGTGACTTGAATCGCTGACACGTTTATGACGTCATACTGCACTGGATGCTGAAAGTAGGACAGTCAATGTTTACATCAGTCAGCTGATTGTCAACATCAAATGAGTGTCGTACCGCAGAAGTTTTTTTTTCACAATCGCATTCTCATAGTATGGTTTTTTTTTCCCCATATACTGCCAAGTTTATGACGTCATAATGCATATGAGCTCCATGCACTGCCTCTGCATCGGCACACATTCTAGATCCTTCTCGATCATTCTTATAGACTTATGAAAATACCGGACATCAACTTTAAACCCACAAAAACTGAAGTCGGAAAAAATTTGAAAAATATTAAGGGCGTATTTTAGAGTTGATTCCGCGCCTACGCCAAAATCGTAATTGGGCAGCTTGCATTTGGTCAAAATGGTTTAAACATTTTTTAATTTTTCTATCTCCGGGTCCCCCCCAATTTTTTAAACGTTATTTTTGTGCATTTAAATTCAAAAAAGTCTTTTTTTAAAAAATTTGGAAAAAGACCAAAATAAAAACCTTTTTCCCAAAAAAATCCAAATGTGAGAATGTGGTGTTTTCTTTGCCCTTTTTAAAAATCAGCTGTATTTGTGAGGGTGATAGCTCAGTAAGTTGGGCCCCTGTCCAGTGCATTCAAACCAAAGAATTTTTGGTTGACCTGGAAGGGGGCTTTAATTTTTTTTCATGAAACAACCATTTATTTTGTCAGTTTCGTTTTATATCTGATGTAAAAAAATCTGAATAAATAAATTTTGGTTGATTTTTCGAGCGAAATCAATTCTAATTTATTCAATAATTTACATGTACACGTATCAACATCTATGCATTAAATATTTTAGGTGTTAATTTTTGTGTAACATAACTATGTCATTATACCCCAGGAAAAACGGACTAAAGTTACAATTTCGCAAGGTCTTTCAAACTAAATGAAAAAAAAAACCAGGGACTTGTTTGAAAAATCTGCCCGAAAGCAGCCAAACCATATCATGGACATTTAAACCAAAAATGTTTCGTACAAATATTCCTGCAGATCACTCGCCAAATGCGCCCATCTTCTTGAGTTATTACACGCCTTCAAAATTTGGAAATGCATAACCACCAAAAATCAAAAGGGGAAACACAAAATCAAACAAAATAAAACTAATTGTAATAACTATATTATTCATTTACACTATTGTTACTATGTTAATGGAACTATTTCTTATTGTGTAATGTTCAACCTTTTTACTTCAAATTTCCCTCCGTTATTCCACATGCTTTGTGTATGCGTATGAATAAGGTTAAATGGTATTCAATCTCAACGTCCATTAAACAATATACAAAAAGGAGCAGAGAAAACACCCCCCAAAACATCAAGGTGGGATCAGGTGCCATGGAGGAGTGAGCCCCCCCTGCCGACCGGTCACACCCGCCGTGTGCTCGTTGTCATAATCAGGAAATAACGGAAAAAATCCGCGTCAATTCAGTGTATAAATAATACTAACAATTTGTATGAAAACGTCAGTCAGCATTTCATTCAATGATAAATTGTATTTGCTGACAAGGTCATTGTATCGACCATAGAATTTACGAAATGATGACTTTAAACGAGACTGTTGATATTCTTGTTTCATCAACTTGCATGCTTGTCAATATTTACATCTTTTAAGAAATTGTTCATACGTAGAGCGTGCCTTGAATCAATCAACTAGATATATATATCCTGTAACGTGTCCCCTCTTTTAGGTTCTTATGGGGATGAAATTTTCCTCTTACTCTAACGATTTACTCTTAGTATTTGATCTAATGTTTTAAATATAATTTTTGAAATTTATAAAATTGTTGGCCACGCATAGAAAAACATTTTGATATTTTTAAAATAATTTTAAACAGCCATGTCATTTATTGAAAATTTTAAAGTGGGTTTAAAAAATACCCCTTGGTTCCATAAAAACGGGGTGCAAATTCCTCAATTTCGTCAATTTTGAAAAACATGTACTTATCAAAAAAAATGTGTCCAGAAATGAAAAAAAAAACTTATGTTTTATTATTTAAATTTTATACTACAGATTATAGTAATTATTATGTTTTAATTTAATCTCTCAATAGTAAATGGCCATTTTACATATTATAACATATCAGATATGTGTTTGGGTTTAGTGGAGTTTTGGAGGCTTAAAACAAAAAAGGCACACTGATTACAAATTTAGTAAAAATTTAAATTATGAAAGGCTGATATTTTTATATCAAAATATGTAAAATATTGGTGGGAGATTCAAAGATGTCAAAGAAATTCAAAGGTAAAGATTTTTTTTTTTACATTTTGAAGTTTTTTGCTTCCTAATTATTCCCTTGAACTACTCTCTAACGTTTGGAGGTACAATGTGTATTTGTAAAAGAATAAATTTTCTGGGAAAAATTTAACAAAGTTTTACAGTCTAAAAAAAAAGAAGGCTAGCATCTTAAACAATGAAGACAGAAGGTAAATTTATTTAATACTGAGCATTACAAGAATATAAAAAACAAATGTTTTTTTTAAATTTATTTCCCTTCAAACACAGTTGTTTTCCCGGTAGTGATCAGTGGTCCTTATCAATGGTCCTTATCAAATCAAGGAACAATACCTTTTGACAGTTTATTTTCACCAATGAATTAATTATTTTTATTAAAAAAAATATTTTGAATCATAAAAACACCACTTGCTATACAGCTGAACCCCCCCCCCCCCCAAATATAAATGTCTATGAAAATATTGTAAAAAACGTGCCATTCAGTAGGTTTACTTTTTATGATGTGCTGAGACTTTTAAGTGAACATTATTTATCTTTATAATATAAATTTCCACTTCTGTCGTTTTCATTCATTGTTTATCCTATTAATATTATTTCAATTCTTTATTGGCATTAGGCACATATGTTACTATGTTACAGTATTGTGTTGTTAAAATATTTAACTAGAGCAAGTTTGTTTCTATAAAAAAAAAGTGCATCAAACTTCATAATGTGTAGAAACCCCAAAAAAGTAGCTATTTTTTAAAAAGTATTTATATATCAGCAAAATATGGTCATGTGATGTTCAAAGCAAAAAATGGGAAAAACACATGTTTGTTTGGATTTATTGTTTTATTTAATAGCTTCTATCTTTTAAACTTTAAATTTATTAATTAAAAAATGTATATATTTTAAAAATGATCTAGGTTAAGAATGCTCTGGAAATATTGAGTTATTTTTGTTTATATAGACTCTTTATTTGTCTGTGAAGTACCATTACTGTATAATCTATATTAAATTTTTTGTGAATAATAATAATTTTTTCAAATAGCAAACGAAAAAATATATATGTTCACTTGTATATATGTATTAGTGTTAAAACAAAATTTAACTAAAGGTACTGTGAGCAATGACTACAAAATGATACCCCCTGCCTCCCATATGGTTAAACTGATGACAAATTCATGTTTTACTGTGGCCAGGAAACCCAAAATATGTGTGAATCAAAAATAAAAAAGGAGGTGCGCAATGGCAATAGAAAAAAAATTTGTGAAAGGTTCATTAAAATTTTACTCATTGCAGTGGTATAAAGGAGTTGCAAATAAGAGATGGGTACCCAAAAGGTAAAAACAGACGGACTACAGACAGCTGGACGTACAGCTAGACGGACATACCAATTACATATACCCTACCACTTTTCAAGCAGAGGGTATAATAAAACTATATACATGTACATGTAGAAATTAATTTTTAAATGATATTTGTTTTATAACACACCATGTTTTATAAATTCTAAAAAAATTATTTGATACCAGGAAAATATTCACTACTGGTAAATGATACAAAATGAACATGTCTGTGTATGAATGAAATGAATTTTCCTTTTGATCATGTTCCTAGGAAAATAATTATTTTCATCATTTTTTCATCAAAGGATTTACCTATAAGATGAATAGAGAAAAATAAGACCATTAAACCAAAAAAGGACCAAATAGGCCATGACTGAAGTTCAAGTGCATTCTGCAAGAAAATGGACAGCCTAGATTTTGTTCTTTTCAAGGTAACCTTTTAAAATATGAAAAAAAATTAATGACAGATGATACAAACAAAAAATGGATGGCTGAATTGGTATATATTTTTTTGCATAATTTAATTGCAAATTAATGATGCTATTAATAAATTTCTAGAATATTAAGAAATTGTAAACCTTCTGTATGTTCAAAAGTTGCCCCCTTGAAACTATCCTTATTAATCTATACAAAACTTTTCACTTAAAATTCCCTTTTTACGCAAATATAATTAAAAATTAAAAAGTACTTGCAGAAAGTTATTAATTTTACGGGTTTAAACATGACCCCAGTTGTTATTTTCAAATTCTTGGACAAAAGTTTGTATCATCTGTCCTTAAATTGTTAAAAAAATATTTCAGTTTTATATTAAATTTAAATCTTGCTTATTTTTTTTTAAACAAAATTTAATACCTGTCCATAAAAAAAATTATTATATAAATAAAGAAAACAACTTTCTAAAGGGTTACATACACATTTAATTAGCTTGAAATTAGTGTATATTGGAAAGTGCAGGAATTATTTACCATTGCAGGTTGGGAAGGATGCCATATTTTAGGTTTGAAACCAGGCAATGATCATGAAAGCTGAATTCCAACCTACTTCAACATACATGTATCCACAGCTTCAAAATCAGTGTTTGAGATGTTAAAGTTCAAATATATTTGGAACATGTTTATCATATTATGTGATCACCTCAAAACTTATGCTGTATAAAAAATGTTTTAGAACTTATCAAACTTTATTTACCTTGCCAAAAAAAAAGTCAGCATA